CAATTTAATACATGCGAGACTTAGATGCCATAATTTTCTCATCCTAATAAAAATTTTGTCCTCGAAATTTCTGTCACATCTCTTCTTTTTTTTCCTAAATTGCTTTCTTTGTTGTCTAATTTTTCCGTAACACTTAAGCTAGAGGGGTCTTCTCATTGCAAAATTCTTTTTCTTTCTTTGAAGAATTTGTTCAAATCATTCCTTATATGTCAAATTTTCATCCAATTTTAAGAATGATTAAAATGTAATTTCTCGATATTGTTACATAGAATATATTATACACTCTTGCTAATATAAGAGGTAAGGCTAGTCTATCTTGTAAGGCTAGTCTATAGGCCACATCATCAATTCATCCATGGCATTTTGACTAAAGTGATCTTATTAGGAAGTTCTTTCTCATTTCTATTAAAAACTTAAGTTTTTATATTAGGTTAAACCTAATCCATGTAACCCGATTTTTTTAATCATTAGCAACTTGGGACTATCCTATCAAGATACCTATCTTCATCTTACATATATGAATATTTTCAATAAGGAGATAGAAGTGGAGATATTAGAGAGGGTTTCAATAAGGAGACAGAAGTGGAGATATTAGAGAGGGAGGAAGCAGAGACGAAGGACGAGGAGGAGATGAAAGAGTTTTAATTGATTTGTTTCAAAAATAATTCAATTTCAAATGGTTCACAAGCTATTGATTCAATTGTGTTTGATTTTTTTTTTTTGCACTAAAAAAAGGGCCCCTAGGTAAAAATAAATAGGGGAGGTTCTATCCGGTAAAACTTCAATTGTGGAGGCTTTTTTTTATAAAATGCCCTTATTTTAATTCACTAAATGATAAGTTCATCAATAAATTGAATTTGGGTAATGATTTGATGATAGAGGCCATGAGTCTTGATTAAGTGAAGATTGAAACATTTGATAGGGAGATGAATTCTTTGAAAGATATAGCTTAAATTCTAAATATATAAAAATAATATTTTTTTTAGTCTTTTAGATTCTCAATATTATGGCTACAAAGGTGGAAACAAAGAAATAAAAGGTATTCGGGATTCCATGAACTTGACAAAAGAAAGATTACATCAAGATTTGTATCATCTAGAGAGAATTATAATAAAGACTTTAAAGGACTGAAAACAAATTGCATATATAGGGATAATTTCATTTGCGGTACAGATAAAAATGATAATATTTATGATTTTAAGATAAGGAAAAAATTTCTAATGATGATAAAATGAAAATATGAAGGTTTCTCCATAATCTAGTGAAGTCTTTGATTCGGATTGGTTACATAAAATACATTGATTGTTTATTAGAATTAGGTATTGATCCATGAACTAAATCTTTTATGTAGCTATGGTGAATTGTTCAGCTAATAACTTATAGGTTTCTTCATGGGGCATAAAATGACAAAACACTCACCAAGTTAGATATTATTAAGATTGATAAATATTTTGAGAGTCTTAATTAGATTTAGACTAATTGAAAGTTTTCTGATTATATTCAAATTTCTTGAAAGATTAGAATAAAAATTAAGATTAGATATTCAAATAAAAAGAGGGGCTCTTATTGATTTAGGATTTATTCTTAGGAATATACAATAAACATTTTAGACACTCGATATTAACCGGTGGATTCAGAGATGATCGAGAGAAAAATCATTTTGATTTTACGTGAGAGATTGTATAAGTAGTTTAGGTTTGGGTTTGAGTTAACCTTGATCTCAAGAGATGAACGTCCACCGCCAACAAATAGAGAAGTCCAGAAAATGGGAAGAGGAGAAGGTGTAGTGTTCTTTGCAATGGGTTTTAAGGACGGAGGTGCAGAAGGGGCCACACCATGGCTTTCCGTCAGAGTAGTCATAGAATGATTAACAGAATACATGTAGGATAGAGCCGAGGATGGGTGAGATGCCGAAGGAAAGAACAAACTCACCTTTCTTTGCAATAATTAAGAGGTATTGAACCTACGAGGACTTGAAAGTACGTATTGCTTCGTTTAGGACACATCAATTAATAAAGAAATTTTGCATGACAATCTATTAATGCAGATATAGGAAGAACTTTGAACGAGCAACCGAGAGTTTGGGGGAAGAATCTTTTGGTTTGCACGTACATGCAATAGAGTGTCACATCTCTCCCAGCATCGATCCTGTGAATGAGAAGCCAACTAACAGTCTTATATTCAACATCAGCGTCTCCAACTGTAAGTAAGCGTTATGGTCGTTGATTGAAAATAATTAAGGAAAGAAGACCAAAGATCCGACAAAAATTGAGGACCCAGAAAGAAGACCCAAAGTCTTCCCTTCAATATGGATAAAGTAGTGTCCTAAGAAGACATGGATCAAATGATTTGAAGAGTGCATGACTTCAGTGACCCTCTGCATTCCTCCACGTCTTACCTTCCTCACAAATGGCTTCAGCGATGTTCTACGTGCTCTTGTTTTTCCCCTTTGGGCTACAACTTGCACAAGGAGCAGATGAATCAAGGGTAGCCAACATAACCTTGGGATCTTCCATACGCCCAGCCACCAACCCCACCGCATGGTTCTCCCCCTCGGGGCGCTTTGCCTTAGGATTCTACTACGAGGATGGAGGCTTCTACGTTGGAGTATGGCTGCAGACATCACCCGGAAACAACACGGTTATATGGACAGCAAAACGAGATGATGCACCAGTTTTTGAAGACGCCATGTTACAGCTAACCGAGCAAGGACTTCAGCTCACGCAGACCAACAAAGAAGACATACTTATCACCAATCTTCAAGTAGGTGCATCTACTGCCTCCATGCTCGACTCTGGTAACTTCATCATCTATGATGCCAATTTTGAATCCCAGTGGGAGAGTTTCAGCCTCCCGACTGATACAATCATATCAGGTCAGACCTTACAACCTGGCAATGAGCTTATTTCCAGCATCTCAGAAACCAGCCACTCAAGTGGAAGGTTTCGCCTAAAGATGCAGGATGATGGTAACCTCGTCTCGTATCCGGTAAACACAACCGACACTGCAGAAAATGCTTATTGGGCATCCTCGAGCAATGGTAAGCCAGTTATAAGTCTAAACCTTGATAACCATGGCGGCTTATACCTCCTGTTCCAAAACGAGAGTCGGATTTGCAATTTAACAAACGACAACCATGTCTGTGATTATTCAAGCACAAACACATCAGATCTTGGAAAAACAAGCAACAATATCAGCATGTCTGATCGAATTTATCGTGCTACGCTGAATGTTGATGGTATATTACAAGTGTATGCTCATGATCTAGAATCAAACACATCAAAAGTACTATTTGAAATTCCAGAAACAAAAGATAAGTGCACGATTAAGGGAACCTGCGGCTTTAACAGCTACTGCACCTCCATGGGTGAAAAACTGGTTTGTATGTGTTTCCCTGGTTTTGATTATATTGATGCTAACAGAACATGGATTGGATGCAAACAGAATTTGACCGGTGGAGGTTGTGACTTGAAAAGGGATAATATGGTGCTCAACATGTCAAAACTAAATAACATAGGGTCAGTAGATGATACCTATACTGCGCCATTTCCTCTGGACACCGTGGAAGCTTGCAGTGATGCATGTTTGACAGACTGCAATTGTGAAGCCGCACTGTTCGACGATGGCAGCTGCTCGAAACAGAAGTTCCCTCTGAGATATGCACGGAGAGATACATCATCCGTGATGTTAATCAAAGTCGTGGGAACCAAAGGCCCTACAGGAAGCACTCTTATAAAGAAGGAGTTATCTATTAAGATTTTGTGTGCCATTGTGGCTGTTGTTACTGGATTAGTGACCGCATTTGTAGCCTTGGGCTTCTTTCTGTATAGGCATCAAGTTCGAAGATATAAAAGAATCTCGAGGAAAAGAGAGCTTGAATTGGTTGATGAAATCGCTCTAAGACGTTTCAACTTTAAAGACCTTAGAGATGCAACAGATGATTTCAAGCAAGTGTTAGGCAAAGGAGCCTTTGGAACTGTTTTTAAAGGAGTATTGCCCAACAATGATAGAGCTGTCGCGATAAAGAGGCTTGAGAAGGTGATCGATGAGGGAGAACGAGAATTTCGAACGGAGATGAGGGTAATCGGTAGAACGCACCATAGAAACTTAGTACGATTGCTTGGGTTCTGCGACGAAGGTCCTCACAGGCTACTGGTCTATGAATTCATGAGCAATGGCTCACTCGCTGACCTCATCTTCCAAGTAGATAGACAACCATCTTGGAGTGAGCGAACAAGGATCACGCTGGACATAGCTAGAGGGATCCATTACCTACATGACGAGTGTGAAGCCAGCATCATACACTGTGATATAAAGCCTCAAAACATATTGATGGACGACAACTGGACAGCGAAGATCTCGGACTTTGGGTTGGCGAAGCTATTAATGCCAAGCCAGACCAGAACATTTACTGGCATCAGAGGGACAAGGGGTTACCTTGCACCGGAATGGCACAAGAATGCACCGATAACAGTCAAGGCAGATGTGTATAGCTTTGGCATCATGCTGTTGGAGATTGTATGCTGCAGGAAAAATATGGAACTGGAGGCTGAAGTTGATGAGATTATGCTGTTAGACTGGGTTTACGGTTGCTTTGTTACTGGAGCACTGGAAAATCTTGTACCTGATGAAGCAGACATGACAGAATTGAACAGGTTGGTGAAGGTGGGATTGTGGTGCATACAATCTGAACCAGCTTCACGGCCAAATATGAAGAATGTTGTGATGATGCTGGAAGGCAGCATTGATATCTCTATTCCTCCACCACCAACTTCGAGTTTCTAATTTGTAGTGTCATGCAGACCCCTTGTCAGTGACTAGGATGGGGAAAATGAGTATGTTCCCTTTTCTATGCTTTACAAATATGGATTTCTGTGATAACATATGCACCTTATGTAATAAATGTCGTGTTGGACCCTAAAACATCTTTCTTTCCTGTAGATGATGAACTTTAGCACTTTTCATATCCATCTATCAAATGAGAGAATCTATATATAATAGAAGAGCATCTGAGTGTTGTTTACCATGATGAGTTTTCAATGCTAGTGCATTAAAATAAGATTTCATAAAATAGTTCAAAAATCTATCAATCGATAATGAATTCATGTAGTGTTTATTCTATCAACTAACTAATAACTTCTCTTCATTTATGAAAAATAATTGGCATTCATCTGGCAAGTCCGACAAAACAAAGAACATCACTGGCATGCGATATGTAACGTATCATGGAGGGCATGATGAATGATGCCACATTGCAAATTGATCTAAAACAAAGAGAACATTTTTATGTAACAAAATATCCTATTGAAGTATGAGGTCTGCATTCGGCCAGGTGTGTCACCTGATTTTGGTCCTCACTTAGTCCAGGACTCGAGTCTCAGTCGCCTTTGTGCTAAGAACAAGAAGAGAAAGAAGCCATGAGAACAGATGTGAATGGCTGTCTGCAGCATTGGGTAGCGCTTATCCGAAGACTCATTCAAGATGATGACAGTTTGGTTGTGCCTGTAAGCTGCAGAGAGTACTGATTCATGATTGCACATGGATTAGCGGTGGTAATGGCAGCGGCTGGCAAAATAATAGAAGTAACTTACGGTTGTAGTAATTCTTAGAAAGCTTGTGTTGATTAAGAAATATTTCAGAACTTGTCCAATAAGAGTGGCTATCAGCCCAAGTAGGTCTTCTTCCTAAGCAAATCTAAACACCATTACAGTTCTTGCACCTCCATCTCTAAATTAATAGAAAGAGAATCCCTAATTTATTCTCTGAATCAACAGCTATACATTCATCACAGATAAACTCATTAAATCATTGCCAGAAACAAAGGATGACGGATGATAAATACACAAAGATGAAACAAATTGAGATGATCAATTTTACATTTTGTGATTCTTATGTTCGTGTGATAAGATAGAGTAAATACTTGTTGGATGATTTACAAAGATTTACAGTGAACGTAGCTCTGCGTATCGAAAAACAATGCAAGTTTTCTATTGACAATATCAAATTTTGCCATCTCCGCAGAGGTAATCGCAAGCAAGAGCTATCATAGTAAGCAAAACAATTAACATAAATCACCAAGAAATTCAAAAAACAGGGATTAATAAAAGAAATGCAAACGTCGCAGCAACGTGCTTAAGGTTGAGACAAAAGGAATGCAAACATACCTGGCAAAAACATCGCGGTTGAGACAACATCGGTTCCGTTGGACTGGTCTGACTCCCAATCTGCAGGTGGGAGGAGAGAGGAGGACGGGATTTAATCAGCGGATGCGGCCAGATGAAACCTCAATTAGGCGATCAAGTGGGTTCGAGAATGCAACCTATGAACCCTAAGAGGAAGGTTTTCTTGGGCCGGGCCGCGTCCATTGGATAACGACGGTGAGACTTGGGATCCGTCATAACAATATAACGATCACCCAAAACCGTTAAAGGTAGATACATTATAGGTTTCCTAAATTACATATAACAAACTATTTATGTGAAATGCTAACGTAAGAAATACAAAAAAAAATATTAGAGACGTGAATAGAAACATATTTGGAAACATAATTCTCATTGCGATGGTTTGGATTTTATAACTATTATTTTTTTAAGAAAAAACTATTTAATAACTGAATTCTAAAGTGACTAAAGCTTTAGAGAAATTTTCAAGTGAAGAGTTACTAAATTCTTTCATCCCTGCATTGGCGATTCCTCTCTGCACATCCAAAATAGTAAGGTTCTCATTCCTTCTTGCATGAGAAAAATTGGATTAAGAAGAAGCAAAATATCCTTCACAACAACATGAAGGTCCCAAGGAAAAGGAATATGTCCCTTCAGAAGAAAAGAAAAAAAGACTTATAAATGTGTTGTAGTCAAGTGATTTTACATTCAATAGGGCCTTATAAATGGCATGAGATTCAGCATGGAAGCTATTGTGTAGATCTGCATAAAAACATTGATAAAAGTAGGCTAGTGAAAGATCGATAGGTTGTCAGATCGATTCAATGTGATTTTGAATTGATTTGACTTATTCAACTCTATTTTAAACATAATTTAGTTTAAATTATATTAGTTTAGGATAGTTCCAAACCAATTAAACGAGGATTACAGATCAATTCAATAAGGTTCTAATTAAATCAAGTTCAATTAGAGCGAAAGTTAAACGGTGGAACAGCCTTTTAAGTCTTTGATTAAGAAAATGAGAAGAGAAGAAGGATGTCTAACATCCTACCCATCAAAGTGGGTATTGTCATTTGTTTATTCCAGACAAGACCTAATAGTCGTTCGGTTCTATATAAACTTCTGCTGTACTGATGCTGAAAGATGACCTTAGTGAAAATGGGCTTTGAAAGATACCGAAACGAATTGGAATTCATGATTGATTGATTATATTTGGTCAGGAAAGATTTCACATCTACACCCATTAACTACAATTTCAAGTTTAGAGCTTAGATTTAAACTTTATTAGAATATATTCGATGAAAAGGTAATCATTGTTCCTGAGGGTGGACAAGACCTTAAATCAGATGGAAAATGGAAGGGAATGATGGTTGCTTTACTTGATATCATTCCTGTTCTTCCAAATGAACCTTATAGAGAGAGGTAGCAATAAAAGTAGAGGACTGTCTGTCCTAATCTTTTTCCTCCTTTAACCAGCCATCATCAGGACATTCGTGCATGAAAGTAAACTGGGAACCCTGCTTAGATTAAAGGAGGTCCCAATAGGTTTTGGCAAAGTTACAAGAGAACAAAATGTGTTCACCAGAATTAACCTCACCTTGGCACACACAACAATAGTCTATATAAATCACATTTGAAGGGCACAAGGAGTCTACCCCAAAAGAGTTTTCAAAGAAATACTTTGACTTTTAGAAGATTGCCGATCTAATGAAGGACAGAAGCAAATTCACAGTTGATAAAAGTCCGTTGACAAAGATGTTGTAAGTGCGCGATTTGTAAGTGCGCGATGACCATCCGGTTCGAGTTTACTTTTCAACTAACATCATCATCAGAGAATGGAGCCGTTCTCTTCATGCATAAATATTGTTAACTTGGATGGCTCACTTGCAACTACTGCTCAATGAAGATTTTCTGGAAGATGATGCATGCCCCAGTACAGCTTCATCCACAAGAGAAATGATCAAAAGAGGACAGCCATTGAAAATTGTGAAAGATGAACAATTCTCTTGATGGAAGATTGTCTACCATGTTTCTGAGATTGACAGCAACATGCCTTGAAGACTTCAATTGACCCATCAGGCAGCAAGGTTAGACTAATGTATTATCCACACATGAAGCAGCAAAAGTCAGATGGCATGCATGTCTGTGGATCAGTTATTGTCATAATTTACCAGGAAAGCAGAACTGTCAGTGTCAAATTTATTTCAAAGATGTGGGTATTGCATGATGAACATGCTTGTTGACCTGGTTTCTGATACCAAGATTGGTCAACCTTTTCTCTAGACAGTTTCCAACACCAACAAGTATGGGACTGCAGGATGTATCATTGAAATGCTTGGTCATAGTCATAGTTCATCAGAATATTCCTGTTACCTCAATCAGTTTGTGATCTTGAAATGTTGACTTTTATCCTGAGCTGTGCAACTCACTTTGCAATGCATAAACTGGGACAGAACATCCAGCAAATTTGTTGCTTGGAAGTTCTCCAAGTTGAATGATAGATGAAAGAACAAAGGCTAGTTTGCGCCTTCATATAGCATATTTGATCAAGAAAGAATGAGAGAGCCTCATTGCAAGTCACAAATTATTTTATGGAGTAAACAAAAGGTCGAGGGGGAAACGAAGAACAAGTCCAAATGGGAAGAGAATGAGATACATATTAAGAAGAAGAAGAAGAAGAAATATTGGAGCTTGGTTACTTTGAACCATGGAGCTTTGGGAAGAACCAAGATGACAATTTCCTTTCTATTTCTGAAGCTGCTACTTTTCCTGTACAGTGTGCTTCACCCCCCAAAATTTATGCTCTCCAAAGCTTGATTGTTATGACAGAGCTGATCTCAGAATTATCCTGCACCCATTCTGTATATTATCTACGCACAGGACCTCCACATTCTTCCTTCCAAGGAGATGATTATGATGGAAACATCATCGTGATACTTTCGTCTATCTCCTTGCGGAACATCAAGCAATTGATTGAACTCCATCCCTGCAGTCGTCGGTCGCAAGGCATCCAGAATTCTGATTAATAATTCCATACGATTATGTGCAATGATCGACCATATCTGATGGGAATTCGGATCATACCAGCTTTATCTGCAGCTCGGTAGAGGACTTCTTCCACGAGGTATTGAGCAGGATCGCCGTCGGGGTTTGTCGCAGTGAACATCTCTACTTGGCTGACCACCTCTTCGTTCGTGAAGTATTGGTAGAGACCATCGGATGAGAGTATAAGGTATTTATCTTTGGGGCCAATCCGGTGGTAGCAGAGAAATGGATTGCAGGTGATGTAAGGTGATGTCCCCCTGTAGTCGATCTTGAATGCCCCCAACAGGGCGTTGTTCCACTTTGGCTGCAGACAGTGAAACAGAGGCATGAGAGGAGACAGGAGGAATAAGAAGATACTCCGAGATCTATATATCAACCTGCTTTAGATAGCCGGCACCGAAAGCCCTGGTCACCTTCAATGATCCCTTCACCCGGTTGTTGACGATGGCACCGGGGTCATCAGGATGTTCATTTCGGATTCTTCGTACTTCCTGAATCACAACGAGCACGAGCATATGTTACATCTACAAACACGGGATCATCAAACATGGAGACGATATGCGGTTGCAGTGGTAGCGCTCCTTACCTCGTCATTGCAGGTGCTGTGATCCAAGGTGAGCTGCACGGCGAGTAAATCACCGTCATCGTATGATTCAAGATAACGTAGAGTCTCGTTCCTGATGGATTCCAGATCTTGGGTCGCTTGCCCCACCAAGTTCCAGAGATCAGACTCCGCTCTCCTGGCCAGAACGGCGCAACTGTCGCCGACGTTCATCAGATACACGTCCTCGCCCCTCATCAGCATCACAAGAACACATGATCCCATCAGTGCCAGCTCCGGGTTCGCAGACACCATCGTGTTGGCCATATGCAGATAGGCCTCCTCTGTTTTCCTGAGAGCTCTGGAAATCGCCTTCAGTACTGCCCTGTGGTCGACCGCGCCGCCGGTGCTCGACTGTGTCGGTTGTTCCTTCGACCGCCTGTTTGTTTCCGAAGCCTCTCCATCGCAGGCCATGTTGCGTTCGCTCCTCTTAATCCTCCTGCTCTGCTTTCCTTCCTCGCAACAACTATCGTCGAGCTCCTGCGAGGTGTCGGTGGAAGTCTCACGGGTGTTTTGCGGGTCGTCCCAGAGCAGCCCCTTGAGCTCCCGTTGGATGGCCGGATAGAGATTGGCGAGGAGGTAATCGGTGGCGTCGGGGCCATTGAAGCCGTCGTAGATGCCGACGAAAACCCAACCATGCTCCTCCGATACGACGACATGCGTTCTGTCCTCACCGGCCTTGCCCTGAGCCCAGTGGAGGTTGCCGTTCGTGCCGTCCGACGAATCGGATTCATCCCCGATGCAGTCGAAGCTCATCTGATCGTTGCCGCTGCTGTTGATGGTGGTGGAGTTGCTGCTAGGATCGGCGGCCGAGTCGAGGTTGGCGATGAGGTTGGGAACTCTGCCGCCTTCGGGTTTCGTAGAGGTCTCGCGGGGCGTGGCTACACAGCTGAACCTGGTGGCGGTTCTGGAGAGGTACTTGGTAAAGCGGCGGATGAGGGCAGGCGCAGTGCGGCTGTGACGGGCGGCCCGGCGGATTGCGAGGCGCTGGGACAGGCTGCGATAGAAGTGACCGGAGGAGGACGACGAGGAAGGGAGGCGGTCGAGCGGACCGGAGAAGGCACAGGAAGTGCGTTGGTTCTCGATAGGGCCAGAATGGAATCCCCGATCGAGGTGACCCGAGCTGAAATAGTGGCGGTCGGATCCGATGGGGCCGGACAGCGAACCGGAGTGTCGGGGTTGCAGAGGGACGGAGGCGAAGGAGGAGGAGCTCTCAAAGGAGGCGGCGGAGGAGCAGGCCAGCTCGTTGCGAAGGACCAGCGGCGCGGTGGAGAGAGGGGTGGCGGCGTTGGCGCTCACGGATGCACCGGAGATAGACCGGAACATGGTGGTGCCTATGGCGGCGCCCTCATCAGAGTGGTGGACGCGGGAGGAGGAGGAGGCGTCGGAGCCGTAGTTAGCGAGGTGGGGCACGTCAGGGCCGACGTAGACAAAGGAGTGCCCAAGGCCCTCATCGACGGGCTCCGACGCCATCGCGGCCGCAGCGGCGGAGTCAGCGGCGCCGACGGGGCGACCGTCGCCGTAGAAGCAGGGCGCCAACGTCACCAGGCGGTTGCCCATCGCAGAGACGGAAGAAAACAGTTCTGGAGACGGGATCACGGCAAGAAAAGGGGCATCGAGAGTTCTGAGAACGAGCAAGGGAAAGAGAGGTGCGAAGAATGATGGAGGGTTGACTTTGTGCAGGGGAAGACGGCAAGGGGCGAGGAGTTGAATTTTCGAATCTATTCGTTTGCTTTTCTAAACAAAATGTCAGGAAATCTCGCCCTTGTGGCGTTGACATGGAGATAGATGGGTTGCCATCATTTCATTGGGCTCACATAAGAAGCAGCTCTCGGGGAGCGACGGGATTAATCAACGCAATAATTAAGAGAGGGGCGTGTAATTAAATGGTGGAAGATGGGAAGTCAAACCACAAGCGGGGATTCCGATGAAACCCGGGGGCTTTGAAAACCGTGCCATGCGGGGCCCTCCTCTGCAACGACAGTTGACTCCGACGTGTCGAGTAGAGAGGCGAGTTTTGTTGGATACCGTATTTATCTCGGATCCACCTCGAACTCGAGCGTGAGCTCTCCTGGGAGGCGTCGAGAACGATCTTTTCTTGTGCTTTACGAACGAACACCTTAATGAACTACGCCAAATTGCTTGGTTAGGACTGATGACCCGACATCGACAACGATCCAAACCTACTATCTGCGGTTAGCATCAATGCAATAGTTCTGTTTTGGTGGCAGCAATAATAAACAACAGCCCAGATTTCTCCCCATCTGACACTGATGATGACATCCTCCTCAAGGCATCTTACAATGAATGGCAGCCGGTGTTCCTGCGGGGAATCCGATACTCTTTAATTTGCATTAGCTCTAGCAGGGCATCCGATCATGCTCATAGATCATCAATGCTATTTATTTACGGTTTCAAAAATTGATCATCCACCTGTAGATGTGAGCACAGGGAAAAGAGATTCAATTTCTTCTGGGGAGATTTATCTGAGCTGCATGCAGAAATCATCTCAGCTGTTGCATCCCCTTCAGGATTGTCTGTCACACTTCAAACCCAAATTTATAGCTGTTTATTCTGAAATAAGAAGATTTCATGGTCAATTTTGACTCCATCATTATATAATCTATCTTACGAGGAGCAGCTTCGAGGTATATCCTTAGATGACAAGTCCAGTCTTGGATTCTATTCTATGTTTACAATATGATAGCAAGACTCCGGACTGCCTCTCTCTTCTCCATTCCTGCAGCTTTCCTAACACTAAACAAAACTAAATACTGAAATAACTCAGAGTAATTGCGATCCACTAAGACAATTGCATCCTTCGAGAAGTCGTCATCTACGTTTCGAGATTCCAGAAAGCTGGCCGAGATCATCCGTCGTAAGCATGGGCCCAAATCACACCTCACATCTTAGGCCCATTAAATCATGGGTTGGGCCTCACTCCGATCTACTTATGGTCCACCGCTCCTCTCGTACGCATCCGACGCTCACTGTCGACACGAACAACGCCAAGGAAGTATCCCTTTCTGATACTTACTTGACAAGTCAACGCCTACGCGTCCAAAAACCTCTCCCGTCCGGTTGACCAAAACGTTGACCAAAAATGTTCAGTGGATCAGATCAGATCAGATGATGCGTACCGTTTTGGTCCGTCTCATGCGGCGAGAACAGAGGCTGCCACAGGATACGGTGTCGACAGGGGCAAAGCGATGCCATTAGCTGTTCGGTTGTTGAGATGCGTTGGAATGCCGCCATAAAATGTTGTTGTGAAAAGAATAGAACAATAAATATCAACCAAGTTGGTTCGATTAAATGAAACGGACGATCGAGATCAAAATAAGGGACGAGATGGACGGTCGGATGATACCCAACACCACAGCCGTGTCGAAGTCCGAGCACATGTGATAAGAAGAAGAAATATAATAATTGAATTAAATTTGGAAGAAATAGGAAAGAAAGGGAAGTGAAGGGACGGGAATCATTTAGCGTCAGCGCGGCAGTCTCCTCTTCTCTCCCCCTTTTCTTCTCTGTTCTGCTGGTGCCGAGTTGAAGATTCAACACCGCCCGCCACAGTAAAAGTAATCTCCACCACAGTACCTTCTTCTTCTAGTCTTTACCCTAAATCCGCAATCGATTGCTTTCCTCCTCGTTAATCGCGCGTTACGTTACGTTTGCAACTGATCAGTTTGTTTCGGAGATGAAATCACTGGATGTTCACATATTTGCCGTTATCTGATCTAAAAATTCCTCCTTTTTTGGTGTGTCCGTTTCTTCTTCGTCGATAGATTATTTTCACGGTTCTGTTCTATGGTAATAGATCATTCTTTTTGGTTATGTGTTGCTTTTTGGTCGTCCGATTGACCGATCGGTACTTTGATCGATTCGTTCTCGCCCAATTGCTTGTGGATTCTTGTGAATCTACCTAAAAGATTGCCCTTTTGAGAATTGAATAGATTTTCTGCTTGAGCTAATACTGTTTGATTGATGGGTCATTTGTTTCGTTCCAGGCTCGATGATATTGCAGCCAAGGTCTCGTGGACGCCGTTTGATCATCTGACGGCGGGATATGGCTCAGTTGTTGCAGCATCAGGACTCCAATGCGTTATGCGACAAGAATCACACGGGTTGCGTGTGGAGCGTACTTCAATATTTCGACTACCATCAGCGTCTTCACGCGAACAAGTCCCCGGAAGACACGAATTATGGCGACGCGGAACATGCTGGGAGTACGTACTTGCTCGTGTTTGATTAGTGTCATGTGTTAGTTAACATGGGGGGTGTCAAACTTTGGAATCAATGAACTTTAAGTTTGTCTGGTAGAATAAAGATTGAAATGATATGCAGTGTTTTGGTAGTTGATACTAACGTTGGATGTTCTTTTGGGAGAGAGCTGAAGGATCAAACTTAACTCATGGAGGTTTTACATATAAGGACAAGTTCTGATTGTATGCCTTGGAGGTTCACTTTTAGTGTTCCTGTTATTCTAACTTTCTTTAAGGAAAATATTGGAAATAATTTGGTTGGTTAAGGTATCACCTAGTCATTCAGTAAAATTCCATTCGTATGAGAATGCAGGACACAGAAAGGAACTTGGCATCGATATACGTCAGGTACTGGAGCTTTTCACCATGAGAACCTTGTTTAGGATTGATTGTGAACTGTACCAGTCTATATCGTCATTCTTACTATGGGGCAGATTATGGTAAATGTTTAATTTTCCCCATCAATTTACTGGAAGTCTGATCAGATTTTGATGAGTTGGGTACAAGATTATTACGATACATATATTGAATCTTCCTCACCACCAAAAGAAGAAAAGAAAATACTTTCAAATCCATTGTAACAAGATGAGCGAAACCTTTTGACTAGCAAACTTCTGAATGATCTTTTGCTGGAAACTTGGCCAAGAAGTGGTCCAACTGGTTCACTCAGATCCTTAGATGTGGTCCACAACAAATCATGCATCTCCAATTTTTTTAGAGTTTTAGAAAAAGTAGGAGGTGATGCTAATCAGAGACTTGTCGAGCATCGATCTGTTGTTGCCAGGTTTTTTAGCCAATTATGATAAGTGCCAAAGTATTTGTCGTGTTTCACTACTGATAGCAAGAAGTTAATTCAGATCATTATTAGCCCCAAAAAATTTATCAGATATGCACTCATCTTGTAGGAACCACTTTTTTGTAAGCATTAAAATTATTAGTCACCTACTTAGCATGGTGCTAGGTGATTATTTGTCAATTACTTGATCAATGCCAAATACATGTGAAATTTGGTTATAGTCTAGCTAATTGACATATGTATTGCATATCCACAATTCAGTCTTGCCAGCTTATGGACTAAAAATGAGTAATGTGATCTCAATACTGATATTCTTGATGCGTTGATTATTGGAATAGGCAGAGGGTTTTAATCACAGAAAGATGATGTTACAATAAATAATAATGTTGAGTGAGTGAAACTATTGTTGAAAAGTGACTTCTCAAATATGTAGGTTTTGAAACTTGTATTATATGATATCGGCTTAGTAGCTCCTGAAAAGGTCTTTCAAGTTTAGCTGTCCGTGACTGCTTCAGTTTTATTTTTCTGTTTTCATAGAGCTTGTGTTTAAACTGGTTACTTTGGCTGTTGGTTTCCAGATGCCATTGGGCATCAAGTTACCAAACATTAATTGATCCATCTTCTTCTGTTCAGAAATACATGACCTTAGGTTACAGACAACCATTCTTATGCTGTTGGTTTCCAGATATCATTAAGCATCAAGTCACTGGCATTATGTGATTCATCTTCTTCTGTTTAGAATTACATAACCTCATGTTACTGACGACCACTTCTTAATATAGGTACAGAGTATTCAAGACTGTATGTTCCTTCAATTAGCAATCAACACGACAAGTCATACAGAGAAGCAAACTCAAGGGTGAGTTTTAACTAAGAAAGTTCAGGTAGTAAATTTTGCTGGCTGCCATAGATAGAATTTTTTCTTAACTTAGCAGGTAGTGATATAAGTGTTTTATCATATATTCTTACTACTCTTTTTTATTGTTTCTTCTCCAGTTTGGTGGTTAAATGTAATGTGTTTTTGTGGCACAATATCTTGAACTTGATCAGAGCAGACGATGCCAGCAATTTTGTGCATTGTTATAGACTTCAAAATATTTGATTCTCTAATTCTAAATGATAGACATGAATGGATCATTCATTGCCTCTTTGCTTGCTTTATGCTTTTCTTTCTAGATCAACTTGTACATGTTTCGTGCATATTCTTCACATAGTGAATTGGAATTAGATGGCATCTCTGATGAACTAGAAGGTCCTCAGTGTTCCTTTTCTCATGCATCAGTTGCACCTGATTTAATGATGCCTGTTTTAACCATTTCAGGTTGTCAAAAGAAATTCAGGCAAGGCTCTTAGAGATTTAATATTAAAGAAGTTATTCAGGAAACTGCATCGTAAACAAAAAATGCTTCCAGTAACACCACGCCTGCTGCGCACCTTTTCCATTCATCACCTGGAGTGCAATGATTATGTTCTTCCAGAGGAAATGTCTGCTGAAAGTGAAATAGAAGTTTTAGAAACACAAGAGACTGATTCTTTTCAATCCAGCAAAGAAGCTCCTCTTATGGCAAACGACATAAAATGTCAAGTTTGTGGATCAGTTGACATTGTAAAAAATGTCGGTCAGGACCAGCTTGTTGAGCTTGGAGATCATTTAACCGAGAACC